CCATCCTCTAAATACACCCATCTATATTCGGGACCATCCATAAACCACGTAGCCTGCTTTGGGGGGGAGGGGGTTCGGTAATGTGCTACGTTAGACCACTATATGGGCGTATTCCTGGCAAAATTTGGAAAATTTTGAGTGGTCTTAGAACTTTTTTGGTTAAAAATTCGCTGAGTTACGGAATTTCAAAGTTTAGAACGCCAAAAACCTCATTTCGAGAAAAACGGTTACCTTGAAGATAAAAAACCAACAGGTTTTAAATTTTTAAAACCATCCCCCCCTCTTAATTTTGAAAATACGAAAAACTGTATATACATTATATATACATAATTATATATATAAATATTGATTAAAATTAAGAATTAGTCTTGTATCAAACTCTTACTTGTCAAAAAAAAAATAAATAAACTGATTTAAAAACATTTAATAGTGTTTACTATGTTTCAATACGATTTTATTGATTATTTTTAGAAAAGAGATTTTAATATTCAAAAAAAGAAAAAAGCTACGTTCCATTAGGTGGGGGGGGGGTGGGGTTCGGTAATATGCTACGTTAAGCTACGTGGGGGAGGGGAGGGGTCGAAAAGTTCAGAAATCGGAGCTACGTGGTTTATGGATGGTCCCTTCTGTAATCCAATCCTCCCCATTCAGGACCCTGAATTTTAACATAACTCCCACCACTCTTTCTTGTTGACTAGTGTAAGGCGCAGGAGCCCAGTAAAAAAAAAACGTATAAAATTATTAAATTATTTTAATACACAAAACTGACTTAAACAAAACTCAAAAAAAAAATTATTAAATTAAATTAATGGGTAATTACCCATTGAGGAATCTGAATTCTCCACGTCTATGGTTTCATTGGAATCAGACTCCTCTTCTGATTCCTCAAGGCTGGTATTCTCCTCGTCCATGTCGGTTGCTGAGACCAGAGTGGGGGAGGGATGTTCTATTGGCAATTGTACCACTGGTTGCCAGACTAAAAAAAAAATTATGTTTTTTATTAATGAACACTATTAATCAAAATAATAATTAAAGTAAACTCACTAAGAGAAGAGAAGATGTAGTCATTTTCCCACGCTAATGGAATCACCGAAAATTGCTTATCAGCAATAACTCCAGCTAACAAGCAAATTGCATATTAAAATTCAATTATGCATAGATATGTATATTTGTATTAAAAAAAAGGATTAATAATTGCATTGTCTATTTTTATTTTTCATACTGAATATAGAAAATTAAAACTAACATGTATTGGGCTGTGGTTCCTCCTCTGAATTCTCATTAGTAGATGTTATTGGTAAAGTTGGGGTCGAATAATCTAAATAAAATAAAAATTGTATATATATATGCATTTTTGGGAAAACTATAATGTTAATTCAAAATTATATTAACTTCTTATAGGTAATTCTGTTTAAATGGTGATCAATTTTGTGGCTACTCTTGCTCCACAACCTGCTAGAAGCAATGCGTGGCTCCATGCGCCCGTCCTCCACTTCCCCACCCCCTTTAGTCACTTCGGCGTTTCACCACTACATCTGAGCACTTACAAGCTTACTACTATGCGTAATCGTATGCTACTAAGAGATAGAGATTGGAAACAAAAAGGAAACTATTATTCACATGAAGAATGTATATTTGTGCATTAAATAGAACTATTGTCAACAATATTATATATATTGATGTTGTAATATATAATATTGTAGATATTATACAATTATAAATGCCATATAATTGCATTTATTAGCGTATGTAATATTAATGAATAACGTAATATATGTGTATATATGAATATTGATATAACAATAGTAAAAAGAAAAATATAGTAAAATATAATAATAAAAAAAAAATAATAATAATAATGATAAAATGAAATAATAACAGACATCTAATATTAATCATTACAGTTTAATATGTATATATATGACGGGTTCCACGTCAAGTGACCCAGGTCCAAATTTTAAATGTTTGGGATCGGGTTTAAAGTTTGCACAAACAGTAGTCCTATTAGATACAATTGAAAATACCAAATATTATTAATTTATTTAAACAAATATCAAAAACTGGAGGGGGTCAAAGTTTAAATTTTTGGTCTAACATGGAATATTTGAAAAATTTGTAGTTTCTTTAAAAAAAACGAAAATACGTTTTCTATGTTGGGTTTTTCTGCTGTTTTTCAACACTTTCTAATGGTGTAAACAAATGTAAAAAAAAATTTTTGACCTTGAAAAATTAAATTAAAAATTAAAATTTCATTTTTTCATCAAATGGACAGTTTTTATTATTAAAAAAAAATTTTATCATAAAGGTGAGGTTTTTTCCTAAAAAAAATGTATAGGTCAAAACGTAGGACAAGAACTTTTAACTGTGTTAGAGCCGAATTTGAAAAATTAAATAAATTTAATTTTATATTATCAAATTTTTAAATAGACTTCAATTAAACGTGTCCTTCGGACGAAAATCGTATAAGTAGTGGATTCTTCCCTCTTCTTGGTTATTAGTTCAACCAAGGGGTGAGAATCCTATATTTTGAATTTAGAGAAGATAGGTTAATTGGACAGGATTTTTAAATTAAAAGGCAAAAAATTAAAGATAAAAACAAACAATGATATATTTGACCCAAAAATCCCTAATACAAATATTCTAATTTTTGTTAAAAATGTGTAAAAAGAGTAGAAGTGTATATGTGTATATGTGTGTGATTGAGTTTCAGAAAATGTGATATGAAATGTGATATTTTTTACTCACTGTTTAGAAATTCTACTTTGCAACTTTAATCCAATTTGATGAGAGTTTCTTCTCTCTGTTTTCTCCTGACATTAACTTCCGAAATTGATGAAATACCAATTCTAGGGTCACTAGAATGATATTTGCTTAACTCACTTTTTTTTATTCCTTTTTTGAAGTACACAAAAATTTGAAGACCGAACCTCGAAAAGGAAGGTTGTCTTTAAAGGTATATTTAAATTGATATTCCCTTAATTCTTTTAATGAAAATAACTTTTAGTTTATTTTGTTGAATTTAGACTTTTACAATAAGCTCTTTTAATTCTTCTATTTCTTTTATATTCCTTTCAATAAATTTATTTTTCAATTCACTTTATTTTTAATATCCTCTTTTAATTATTTTATTCTTTTTCTCGTCACTTTTTATTATTTTTCAATAAAACTTTTAAATCCAACCTTTCTTTTATCTTTATTTTTTTTATATTTCTATTCTCAATTAAAATTCACTTATTCTTCCCAAACTTTTATTGATTTTCTCGATTTTATTTAAAGGGATTATCTTTTCCCGAACTTCACTTTTTTTTAAAACACGGCTCACAGGCCGGACTTAGGAATTTTCCAGGCTAAAGATTGCCGGTTTAAAAAAAACAACAGGTATCGACGACCTGCAACTAATTACTGCCTTGATTTCCCCGTGTCGGTCAATTTTATTGAACGACGATTTAGTGGGGAAATCGTAAGCAAAGTTCATTGCACTCGACTGTTGTCAAGTCAATTTCTGCAACCTTGCAGATTTAGGCAGTGGTATGATCGAAGTTCAATGACTTGGATACACCACTCCTTATATTAAGGAATTTGGTTTCGACAACTCCCTGTGATTTCCCAAGAAAGTCAACAAACTGTTTGCCAATAAAAAGGGAATTTGCCGAGAAATAGTGTAACTTATATTTAAGGTTCTTCACCTCAGAATTGTGAAATTCAGGGGAATAATAAATTGAATAGAATTGTTTATAATTTTAGGATTAAATCATTATTTAAATAAACTGCTTAAGATCACATTGGATAAAAATGTCAAAGATAAGAATGTCTTTTAGTGAATTTACAAAGGGTTGTTCTTTTTGTAAGTGTTTTTGTGATGTTATCTACAAAATTTCGTATCATGCGAAATGTTGTTTGTGATTATGTTTCATGACGTATTTTAAATGATTATTTTTAAATATAAAAGGTTACGGAGTTCGGCCGTAACAAATGCCCCCCTTTTATTAGGCTGACGTCCCTTGTCAGCTGCTATGAATGCGTGTAGTGGTCCAATGTGATATCCTTGGAGTGTAATGTTGTTGGATAACTCTTTCGAGTTTTACAAAATTTTAATCCTCTTGTTTTACATAAATTGTTGCTGTAAGGTAAGTGCATTTATTAAAGTTAGGGAAAGAAAAAAAAATGAAATAAATTCCCTTATATATAAAAAAAAATATGAGAAAAAAAAATATTCTCTATATATGAGCTGTTATTTAAGAGTAAAAACGCTGAATTTTCAAATTTAGTTTTCTGTGTCAGTGTCACGTCAAGGTAAGTTGAAGGTCTGATTGTAACTTGATATGGTAGTTTATTTTAGTTCTAATTATGTAAATAGATAGAAAAAGAAAAAAAAAATGAATAACAGCCATTTTATTTTATTTTTATCGTTTTCTTCTTTCAAAAGAATTATAAAAAAAAATCATTTTTTTTTTTTTAAAGAAGGTGACAACATTGTTGTTACTGCCCCCTTTTATATGAACTGTCGTCCCTTGGCAGTTTATAGTTGTATTTTTTTTGTTATTATTGATGTTTAGACTCTATTAGAGAAAACAATTTTAAAAAGAAATTTATTTATAACTGGCATTATTCTTAAAAATTTAATTCAATTCCTTAAAAAAGATATCAATTAATTTAACAAAAAATCTTTGTTTTTTTTTTTTTTTAAATACTTTGGATTAATTCAATTATTTACAAAAATATTGAAATTTTTCACAGAGATTCCATTTTTTAAAAAAAAATATTTTAATAAAATTCTTGAACAGAAATCTATTATTTTAATTAAAAAAATTTTAATTAAAAAAAATTTTTTTTAAATATTTCGATTATTATTTTAGATTTAATATTTAATTTAATTTAATTTATATTTTTTTTTTTTTGTAAATTTTTTTTAAAAGTTTTTGTATATTATATTTTTTTTAAATAAATTTTATTTTTATGAGTATGTATATATGTATTTCATTTTTGATGGGTTATTTTTGTTTTATGTATAGGTGAAGGAAAATTTGCTTGTGTTTAATGTAAGATGAGTACATTTTTCCTGTCTTTGGTTTAAAATCTTCAATTTCTCTTTCTAATGATTTTGATAATGCTGATTTGTGCTTTTGGCTGGTCGATGTGGTGTCTTTTCTCGTACTTTGTCAGTTTCTTAGAGTCTTCCGTTTGGTGTAGTTGTTTTATTTTTTATTCGATTCGGTTTTAGTGATTTGTTGTGGTTTGTTTATTTAAAAAAAAAATAAACCAAAATAATACAATGGCTTCTTTCGATTTATCCGTAATGAATGAAGTTTTGAGTTACGTGGAACGTGGGGTTACGAGTAAGGAGAGTTTTTTGTTGCTGAAGTTATCTGAAATTGAGGAAGCTGAACGTGAATCTTTCGCGAGAGGAGAGAGGGGGTGAGTTTTAAGAAAATTTTATTTTATGGGTGTTTATAATGTGAGATTGTGTGTTTTTTTTTGTTTCGTGTTTATGTGAAAAAAAATGTTTTTAGAGTGCGTGTGGTTGTATCTTCGTGGGAGGACGCCGAACTAAGGGAGGGAACAGGGCCTTGGCCTCTTATGACCTCCAGATGTTATCCCGAGAGTGCCCCTTATGATGATGCTGTATGGCATCAGGAGTATAGGTGGTCTTGGGAGTTCAAAAAATATGAGTCCCGTTATTATTGGGCTCCGGATACGTACAAGACTCCCACTTCCACTTCTGTGTCCAAAGAAGAATTGATGGAGGAAATTATAGGTATTTTGGGCGTCAACGCTTGTTGTAGGTGAGTGATTTTATTTTGTTGTTTTCCCCTTTTTTTTTTAATAAAAAAAAACTACTAAAATTATTTTTTTTAATGGAGGAAAGTCTTATTTGTTTTGTTCCCTTTTTGTTATAGGAGCTATATGTTTTTACCTAATGATCCTCCTAGGCTTGGGTTTCGCCCCAAAAACTCTGCGTTAGAGCTCGTTTTCGTGCAACGTTATAAATTGGAGTGGGAGGAAATGATATTGGTCTCGAAAGCTTGGGATGTGGTAAGTGTGAGAATTGAAAATAATTAATTAGTTTTGTAATAGTGATTTCGGTGTGTGCTTGTTTGTTTTTCTGATGTTTTAATATTGGTTCTTGTTTTTATGTTTTAGCGCTGGAATCTTCCAGTCCAGAGTGTCTGGTATCCCTGCTAGCTTGTAGCATGTTTTCATTATATATTGAATATTTTATACTGGTGTTAATTTTGTATATTAATTTTAAAAAGAAAGTTGATTATAATTATTATTGTAGCTTTGTCGAGCAGGGGGGGAGGGGGTTGGTGGTTTTAATAAATTGACGGTTTCTTTCTTAAATGGTCTAATTATTTTCCCTTTTTTTTTGTTTTATTGTTTTTAATGTTTTTTTTTTTTATATAATTTTAATTTTTTATAGAAATTATGATTTTTAATTGTGTAATTTATTTTTTAGAAAGAAAATGAGAGAGAAAAAAAAATGTTGTAATATGAAAGTAAAATGTTATTTTATTATTTCTATTTTTATATAAGTGGTTTTTTTTTTATTGGTAAAAAAAGGAGAAAAAAAAAAATATCTTTTCTGAATAATTTTTAGTTATTCGAATTTTTTTTTATTTAAGTAAGAAAAAATTTTAAAATATATTATGCAGTGTTAAAAGGGAATTATGAAGAATAAAGAAGAAAAGTAAAAAAAAACGTCAGCGTTTTGTGGTAAGGTGTAGTCTCTTTTATTCTCTCTCCGTGCCTGTGTGATATGAGGTTGTTTGACAGTCTCTCTCGTGCATCGGCATATTCTAGTTTGTTTGTGGTTAGAAGTGTATGTTTAGAATAAAATTTTTTGATCTTGTTATGTGTTTTTTTTTTGTGATTGTGTGTGTGTGTTTTTTTTTTAAATATTAAAATAAAAGATATTAATTGGAGGTTTGTTCCTATTAGTGTTATTTTTCTGCTCTTGGATTAGTTCCTGTTTTTTTTTTTATCCAATGTGAGTAAAATTTTTCTTTCTTTTAATGTTTATTTATATTTTTAAATTATCGAAAATTATTATTTTGTTGTGATAAAAATAAATGAAAATAAAATTTTGGAATTAATTTTAAAGAAATAGTGTTACTAATAAAATGATTATGTAGAAATATCCGTGTGTCGTGACCGTCCTTGGTCTTGAAACACTATTCCGTTTTTGTCAGCATTTTCTTACTTTCATTAAATGACTTTATGTTATTTTGTGTTCAAATTTTTCTTTCTTTTGTATTTTATGAATGTATTTTTTTTTATTATTATTTGATGTTTTTATTTATATATTTAAAAAAAATTGCGTTCATAATATGTTTTATTATTTTATTTTAAGTTTAAGGAGGTTTCCATCTCCAAGTTTGTTTAATTTCTCGTCAAAATTTTAATTTTCTTTAAAGATATTAAAATTCTTCTCCAAAATTCAGTTATTTTCAAAAAATCTAAAAAAAATGGTCAACATCTTATAATTATCTTTAATTATTTTATTAAATTTTTTATTAAAAATTTTTTATTAAATTCGTTCTAATCGAATTTCTCGAAGAATGTGATTATTCTTAAAAATTGTATTAAAATTTGTTCATATGATTCAATTATTTGAAAATTTGTTGATAATGATTTTTATGGGAATTTCATTTTAAGAAGCGTTCAATTATTCAATAAATTATTTATTTGCTTTATGTTTGTATTTTTTATAACTGAATTATAATAATAAAATAATAAAAATTGATTTTCATTTTATAAAATGAATTTCAGTTAAAATTTTATAGATAATAATTGAATATTAAATGCAATAGAGCATTATTTTTATAGTTTCTATTTTCTAATATTTATTCGATTAAAGAATTTAGGAACAATTGAAATTTCGTAAAATTGAATTTTGTAAACAAATGAATTTGAAAATTGTCAAAGAACTTTTTCGAAGATTATTTTTTTAAAAAAAATCGATATAAAAAAAGAATTTTAGATAAAAATTCTTAAAGTGATTATTGAATTCTTTATGATTTTAATTATTATAAATTATTTTTATTAATTATTATGAAACATGTAGAAATCGATGACTTTGAGTCGAAGACTCGGGAGTTATCGATTTTTTTTTCATGTTTTATAGTTATGAAAAATTATTGAATTTCTAGTTTTAAGGAAAATGTTCTCTTATGTGATTAGGCCTGATTCTATTTGTGTCAGTTGGTCCGTAAATGGTCTGTAATTTTTAATTTTTGTTCCATAAAGTCCGTATTTACTATTTTTAAATACTTGAATTTTGGCTGAGAATTTAAATTAAATTTTTGAAAATATTGAATAATAATAATATTTTTTTTAAAAAAAAAATTCGTTCATTATGAAAAATGTTAAAATACAAGAATAAATGCTTAATTCAATTCAGCGCATGCATTTCTTAGTTAGTATATCTATATATGTGAGTCACTATATAGGTATACTGGACGTATAGTTCTCCTTAGTTGCTCTCCTCTTTCTTCTGTTCGTAGGCGCCCCGCATGCTCCGCGACTACCCCGAAGCAATGCGTTGCCCTATATGCCTGTTTTCCTTCTCTTTACTTTTATCCGCTCCCCGGCGTTTCACCACCACTTCAAGCTTCCACAAGCTTACATCCATGCATGGCAATGTTTTTTTTTAGGTTTAAAATTATCGTTTAAAAAGGAAATACTGCCAGAATTTTTATCTCTTTGATTGTGAAATAATATTCCGACTAATAAAAAAAAATTTTTTTTTTTTTAAATTTTGTTAATGTTTGCTAATAAATTATCAGAACTAAGTGGTGTAGCATTTGAAGCGTGTCATTTATTTATTTATTTTTTTTTTTGCAGTATTTACCTCTTATGAAACATTTTATTTGGATTAATTTGATAAAAAATGCTCATTGTTCAGCATTATTTAATGCTATAAATTTTAAGCAGGGTTGCAAATGATTTTTTTTTTATTTATGAATGCCCTTACTTTTTAATTTGTCTGAGAGAGAGAAAAGAGAAAAAAAAAATATCCTTCGTGAATTTATTAATTTTGTTAGTTTGTTTGCAGGTTATTTATGTTTGTTGTTTTATTTTTATTATTATTATTTTTTTTTTATATTACAAAGACTGAAGCTGCCCTTTTGTGTTTATAATTTTTTGGTAAGTGTTGTTTTAATTTTTTTGTTAATGTTTATTAAATTTCCCTTTTTTTTTTTTTTTAACCATGGCTCTTTTTTTAGGTAATTTGCAAGTTTTATGAAAGGGATATATAAAAAAATGTTTTATAAAAGCGGAGTAATTCTAGGGCATTTTGCTGTCTTTTCTAGTGTTTTATTTAATTTGTAAGTATGTTTTCAATGTTTGTTTTCTTTGGTTTTAAATCCTTTATTAACCATGGCTCTTTTTTTAGCTCTTTCAAAGTTGGTTGGTGGTTCCTGTACTCTAGCTTGAGGAGGATTTTAATTTCATCTACGAAGCGAAAAAAAAATGTTTTTGTGTGCTTATCTTATTAAATGGGGGTTGATGCTTTTCGGATTATCTTTACTTGGGTGAGTTTTTTTTTTAACATTGTTATTTTTGTATTGTTATTTATGTATGTTTTATTGATTTTCTTTTTTTTTTTAGGTACCCTGTGCCTCCCTTTTTGATGAATATATATATATATATTTTTTTTTAATAATGAATTTCTTAAAATATATTATACGAAAAAAAAAAAAATGATAAATAAGAGTACATTAAAGTGTTAAGTAAAGAACAAAATCGTGTTATTCAAGAATTTTGTGTTTAATATTATCTTTCTTATTCTAACATTATTTATATGGTATTTGTAAAAGGTGTTTTTTTTTGTTTTGTTTTATTCTATATGTAAGTGTTTTATAAATTTATTAATTAATATTTTATTCTTATTTAATTTATTATTAATTGTTAATTACTATGATTGATATTAATATAGATTTTTTTTAATTTTTTTTTTTTTATTTCCCATTTTACCCAAAACTAAAACTATTTCTACTGGAGTTGGAGTTCGCTTTCGAGGGGGAATTTGGAGACTCATCAAGTTGACCAACAACAGATGAGGCTTTTCTTAAGGCCCTTTTCCCGGAGTTTTGGATGTCTCATTTGCTTCTACTCAGAAAAACTTTCTTAGGAGTGGATACAACATGTTGTAGTGAGAGAATGTTTCTCACCAACATTTTTTTTTTACATTTTAAAATGGTTTTTTTTTTTTTTTTTAAATTAAATCTACAGATCATTATTGCATCTATATATGTATGTGTATGTATTTCATGCATACTTATATTTATATATATGTTAGTAATGGATTATTAATATTGGAGGTAATTATATTGTAGTAATTGTTAGGTTTATTAGTTGCCAGTTGTTTCTTATCTACGTAATTTTTAATTGGTTTAGTGTTAGTGTTATTTTTTCTTCTTTTTTTAGCTTTTTGGTTATTATAAGTTTTTTTTTTTTTACAAGTTAATATTATATACATTTTTTTTAAAAAATCGGTCTGCTTTTTGTTTAGGCTATGTCTACGTATTTAATTTTGGGTGTTTCTGTATATTGTAATTTGGAGATAGGGTTTTCTCGTATCGTTTTTTCTTTTCGTACAGTGCTGCTGGTTGTGGGTTGGTTATCTTCTTGTCGTTCGTTTCGTTGTAGGATTTCTTGTTCAATGGTTGGAGGGGATAGGCATGTTTTTTGGTTTGTTATAAAATTGGTAGTATTTTGGTTGTTGGGTCTTTGTTGTAAGGGGCTGGACGGTATTGCGTACATTTGTTGCGTCTCTGTCTTGTTGCTTCTTCTTCTTCTTCTTATGCAGCATAGAGGTTTTATATGGCTTTTTATGCAATGTTTTATGGTCAAATAGATTATGATTATTATTATTACTGTTGACAAAGTTCCTATTATAGAGTTGGTGTATTGATATTGCTCTTTTTTTCCTAGTGTATGTATACTTTGAATTTCTAGTCCTTTCTCTATTTCTTGTAATTTCTCGTCAGTTTCCATTTTTCTCCAAATTGGTCGCACTTCGTTTGATGTTGTTGTCTCTTTTTTAGGATTCAAAGTTTTTAGGATTGGTGAAATTTCTTCTAGTTTTAATTCTATTTTTGGTGCATAAATATATTCTTGAGGATTGTTTATTATTTGCAGTGTAGGTAATCTTATCGTGTCCGTTTTTAAGGTGCATTTCGGTGATAATTTAATAATTCCTATTCCATTCAGTTGAAAAGTATTGACCTTCGTTTTGGGGCATATTAAATATGCAGTTTCTTCTTTAGTTAGTGAATATAACCAATTTCCTGTTGTTATTAAAGGTTCCCACAGTGGTTGTTGATTGTTTGTGATTCGGATGTCACAACTTCTTAAAGTGTTATTATTAGGTTCCCTTAG